AAATGGCGGCATTGTTGTGACAGGGACTCCATGCTCTTCCAGTCCTAACATTTTTACTATCTAGTCCTTGATGGCCATAGTTTGCCCGCCCCTGCCCCTGCCCTTCGGGTCCCCAGACCCCACCTGCCCTCCCTCAGGCTTCCTCACTGGGTTGAGGAAAGGAAAGGGCAGCTCCAGGCAGTGAGGGACTGAACAGATGTCACCCTTCATGCCTACAGGTGTGTCAAACACAGGTTACAAGTGTGAGGTTACACCAAAGACAGGCCCCGGCTTCTAGCAACACCGTCCTTTGATCCCACGCTGGACTGAACAAAATTTAATTGGTTAAGGAAAATGAGAAACACACACTTGCTGACAAAACTCAACACAGCGTGTATGTGCCTTCCCTCTGGTGCAGGGCATAGTTTGATGCATATCCTTCTAGACCTTTCAAATATTTTCATGCCAGAGTTCTGACTTCTTAAGTTTGCTGTCTTAAAATTTTAATCCTTGAGGCTCCCGGCTGGCTTAGTCGGTAGAGCCTACAACTCTTGATCTTGGGGTTGCGAGTTTGAGCCCCACGTTGGGCAGGATGATTCCTGAAAAAAATAAATGAAAACTTAAGAGGAGTGCCTGGATGGCTCGGTTGATTAAGCATCCATTTCTGGATTTCGGCTCAGGTTATGATCTCCTGGTTGGTGAGTTTGAGCCCCACATCGAGCTCCGTGCTGACAGCTCAGTGCCTGCTTGGGATTCTCTCTCTGCCCCTCCCCTGTGCTCGCTCGCTTGTGCTCTCTCTCTCTCAGAATAAATAAACATATTTAGTTACAGTGAGGAAGGGAGGCAAACCCTAAGAGACTCTTAAATACTGAAAAACCGAGGGTGGATGGTGGTGGGGGAGACGGGGAAAGTGGGGGATGGGCACTGAGGAGGGCACCTGTTGGGATGGGCACTGGGTGTTGCACGGATGCCAATTTGACAATAAATTATATTTAAATAAACAGTTTTTTAAAATGAAAAAAGATACAATCTTAAAAAAAATAAATAATACAATTCTGTTCCTTTATCGGTAAGAGGAAGTTGGACCCAATTTTCTGATTTTTCAAGTTTCTGGAGAAATGCCTTCAAATCCCTGCATTCCTTGCCTTCCTCTCCCTCCTTTTCTCTCCCCTTCTACCTCCTGGGCTGTACCCAGCCCTCTGTGTCTTATGTCACAGCCTACCATGCACCTCCACAAAAATCTGTTCATCTGGGTTCTCCAGCTTCTCTGTCATGGCTCTCCCATTCTCCCTGGGCTAACCACAATTCCTTCCTTCCTTCCTTCCTTCCTTCCTTAGTTCTTTTTTTCTTTTCTCTTTTCTTTCTTTCATTAACGTTTACTTACTTTTGAGAGACAGAGACAGACAGCGCACCAGCGGGGGAGGGGCAGAGAGAGAGGGAGACACAGAGTCCGAAGCAGGCTCCAGGCTCTGAGCTGTCAGCACAGAGCCCGACTCGAGGCCCGAACCCGTGAACCATGAGATCATGACCTGAGTGGGAGTCGGATGCTCAACCGACTGAGTCACCCAGGTGCCCCAACTACAGTTCATTTCTGTCTCCACTTAGCTGGACAGCGTTGGGTCTACAGATACAATCGAAACATGTGAGTCTGGGCTAAGTTCTGGCAAATCGTCCCTGCCGTTTCTTCCTTCAAACACCCACCTCCCTTTGGTTTTCAGACTGCTTGGAAGGTTTTCCTGGGGTCTAATTTCCCTCCCTGTTTGACTCTCAACTGTTCTAGTGTTCTTTTTTTGCCTCCTCAAATATTGTAATTTGATTGTAGCATTTCTTTCTTCCTTTTTTTTTTTTGAAGCATAATTTACCTCCAATAAAATGCACAGTTCTTAAATGTACAGTTCATTGAGTTTTGGCAAGCATATGCTCACTTGTAACAACCACCCTGATAAGATCTAGAACACTGACATCCCCGAGGTTTTTCTGGGGCCCCTTTGCAGTCAGTTCCAGCCTCAATCTTTTTCTAGGCACCATGTCTATCTTCTATCACCGTAAACTAGTGTTTTAGCTTCCTTCCCAGCCTGCCAACCTACGTTATTTGCTTTCTTCAGTTTAGCTGGTGAGGGTCAGAGAGGGCCCTGGAAGTAAACTGGCCTGCTCTCCATGACCGACCATGCCCCCTGGCTTGGTCATCATGAAGAGATCTTTCCTCTTTCTCCCTCATTAACTGTTTGGTTCATAAACTTGATAAGGCTGTTCCAACCCATTCCTTTGCCCTTTAAAATTCTTCCCTTTCAGGGGCGCCTGCGTGGCTCAGTCGGTTGAGCATCCGACTTCCACTCAGGTCATGATCTCATGGTTCGTGGGTTTGAGCCTCAAGTCAGGCTCTGTGCTGACAGCTCAGAGCCTGGAGCCTGGAGCCTGCTTTGGATTCTGTGTCTCCCTCTCTCTCTCTGCCCCTCCCCAGCTCGTTCTGTGTCTCTTTCTCTCAAAAATAAATTTAAAAAACATTAAAAGGGTTTTATTTATTTATTTATTTATTTTATTTTAATTCTTCCCTTTCCTCATAGCTAACTATTTCAACAGGTGAAGCCGGGAGCTCGAGCGGACCAGCTGTCTGTCCCCTTGCCTTCTGTCTTCCTTTCCAGACTCCACTGGGCTCCTCCCTCTCACCAAATTTTGCCCCACGTTGTGTGGACCAATACCTGTGTCCTATCTGTCACACTCCATTTTGTTGTTAACTCTTCCCAGTCGGTGTGACCTCCTTAAAGACAGAAGTGCCCCAAACGAACGCGAGTTCTCAGTGGGTATTTGTTGAGCCTCACTACCCTGCCAACGTTCAGAATCTTCTGACTTCAGCCTTTTGGAAACACCGCTGGCTGAGCAATCTTAAAATAACATTTTTGGGCGCCCAGCTGGCTCAGTCAGTAAAGCATGCGACTTCCTGATGTCAGGGTGAGGAGTTCAAGCCCCATGTTGGGTGTGCAGCTTACTTAAAACAACAAAACAACAACGATTGGTTCCTTGGGGTGTGTGGCTGTGGCTCAGTTGCAAGACCATGTGGCTCTTGATCCCAGGATTGTGAGTTCAAGTCCCACTTTGGGTGTAGAGATTGCTTAAAAATAAAATCTTTTTTTTTTAATTTTTTTTTTTGTTGTTAATGTTTATTTTTGAAGGAGACAGACAGAACGTGAGTGGGAGAGGGGCAGAGAGAGAGGAGACACA